TGTGGGGCCCCGCTCATCTTCACAGGCAAAAGGCTCCTTCATGCCACTGAAGATTGGTGTAACCGACGAGTGGTGGCAGTTGCCTTTACAGTCATGGGATCCATTAGCATTTCTAAGGAACTCGACGGTGCCCTCAACTCCCTAGGCTTTATTACACCGGATAGCTTAGAGGTTGACTTCTACTCTAGAGTACTAATGGGCCCTGGGCAGCTTCGACAAACTACTCTGTGTGATTTTCCAAGAAGTTCATCACGTAAAGTATGGGGAGTGGGAAAACTCAAACAGGGTCTTCCAGTAACCCTGGTGCTTAGTGACAGCGAAGAGGATCTAGCAAACAACACAAGAACTGTTGAACCACCCCCTGCAGCACACTCAGATGGTTTCAACCCTGCTCACTCTCTACACCCGGATAAGCGCCCCAGGCCCACCCAAGTAGACTCATACACCTCTGATTCCCAAGCCACACTACCCTGGCCCATGGACGCCGTCGTGGGGGCATAATCTCTACTTCACAGAAAGCAGGAGTGTGTGCAAGATACGCTCCCAGGATAGCCTGGTTTGTGTGGGGTCTTTTCTTGGGGTCCCTTGATTTCTGCTTTCTATTGTAACTCTTTTACTTTGCTGTACTCTTCATACTACAAGCCCACTGTATCCCTATCCCCACCAAACCCCCCCTTCAGCATGTTTTATCCTTTTCCTTTAGTATCTGGTGGCTAGCCTTAGTCTTCCCTATGTTGTATACACTTTGCATGGGTTCTTTATGTGCTATACGGGTTTTCCTTAAGAAACCACTACCCCGCGCCCGCGCGGAAACATGGAATTCTGCAGGCCTAACGTGACGGCGACACTGCATGTTTGTTACCTATGATGGAGTGTATGGCATCTACAGCTGTACCTGCATGGCCCCGCTGCACCATGATTGGACTGTATGGAATTTATCATTGCATGTGCATGGCCTCCGCTGCCAAACATCTACAACTCTGCATGGTCTCAGCTGCCAAGTGACAAAGCAGCCTGAACATGTGAAACTACATGCTGGGTGTATAAATATGGGCAGAAAAACCGTTGACCAAGGCATTTGTTCTGACCTCTCGCTGTGGAATAACCTTGCTGGTTTTCTGGAATTGGTTTGCATGAGGCAGGAATCTCAGCGACGTGGTCGATGCCTTCCCAGGTCCATAGCGGCGACTTCCCCTATGGACAACTGTATGAGGAACGCTTTGCCGGACATATTCTCCAGAATTTATTGCATGATGGTAAGCACAACACGGGAAGACACGGCTGAACAGATCAGATTTGAGGAGGACGGTCAATTGCCCTACACTATATGCCTGCTGAGATTGCATGAAGAGCTTTTGAAGATACGTTATGAATTCATATCGGAATTCATACCAACCTGCGTCCCCCACTCTGCTGCTCTTGCCATTAGCGCCGGTTTTGGCTGCTCTGACAGATCTGTGAACGAGCTGGGTTGTCTCCCACGAGGTGACTGGATATGATTGAGTGCGATGTTCGCGTTGCATTCAATCATGTCCAGACACCATCTAGTGAGCTAATTCATACACTGAGGGGTGCATGTCAGAATTTGTTTCAAAGTCAAGCATGGGATCTCAAGCATTGGATCATCATACTGCAATGTAACTTCGTCGTCCTATGACTATGTGATGAAGCTTTTCGGTTGAGTCCAGTCGTCGCACCATATGTAGGTTACTTCACATACTCCACCAGTTTCACCTCCTTCATCGATGGTGTCAGAATTAGATGCTCGTAACGTCGGTAATAAGCTGACTTTAGGGATCGTCAAGTGCGTGATCCCCACAACAGATCGCAGTGCCTGAGTCAACCCGGCTCTCCCTTGTAGCATATTACTATTGAACACCATTCCTGAATCATTGTAGGGCCTGATCCCTATATCCCTGACCCTGAGCGATCTGCCGAATCTACTACCTTGGAGTCCGAATTTCCTTGCTGCTTCAACTTGGATTCCAAGGAGAGGTTTCGCAGGCAGGCACAGTCACTTTATGTGTTGATAGCCTTTGTTGCTGAAGAGTAGTGACGAAGCCTCTTAGTGTCGTTTCACTTTGCAGACTCGAACTCATATGCCTCGCCTGGTTTGTCCGAGTGTGAGCGCCGAAACCAGAGGCATATTCTCATGTGGGAAATGTTGGTTTTTCCCGGGAAACACCTAGAACACGAACCAAAAACAAAGCAATGAGTTAATCTCATGAAAAAATATAAGAAATTTTGTTTTTCCGTGGAAAACCAAGTAAACGACTCAAAACGAAAGAATTCATAGGAACTCATTCAAAAAGTGGTCTTAATCTTACGAAGCTATACAATGTTGGTTTTCCTAGGAAAAACCAAGACAACGAACCAAAGAACAACAATGAACACCAAATAAAGAGAAATAAGATAAATGCTCCCAAAACAACTTCACTCGTTTGTTTTCCTGCGTAAACATATCTACATCCATAGACAAATACAGGTCTATGGATGTAGATATGGACATATCGAGAAAATCCTGGTTTTCCACCTTAAAACTAGATACAAGATAGGTTTTATACTAGGGAAATATAAACAAACTAGAAGTTTTCCTATGGGAACGTAGGGAACTCCCCCCTAAACCCGAAACCAGGAAACGAACTCCCCTCCCCCCTAAACCCGAAACCCCTAGCCCCGCCCCCACCCCCGCCCCCCCCCCCCCCCCCCCCCCAAAAAAAAAAAGAGGGCCAAAAAAAAAAAAATAAAAGGGTCAAAAAGAAATCTCCACCCTTGCGGGCGCGTCAAGCCAGGCTCGGAGACTGTTTCGCGCGCTGATTGGCGAAGGGGGACTTGGGAGGCTGGTGAAGAGTTGCGCCGTTCGGCTGCAGAGTCTGAACCTGATCTGCCCCAGGTTGACCTGGCAGGAGCTCGGCATCTCCAAAGTGGCATCTCAGCTGAGAGCAGATGCAATGACAGTCGCCGTTTTTTGCATTTGACAGGGGTTTAGCAGTCAACTGCCCTTTATTGCTGGACTTGCAGCCGGCTCACTCACCGCTTCGATCAAGTCAGGAATGGACTGCTTACCGGATGCAGAAGTTACTCGACTCAGATCTGGCACTGGCACATTTTCCAAACTCAGCCTCCATGGCCTTGCTCAGGTCCATGGAGGCTCGGAGGCAGCAGACCGAGGCCATCCTGAATGCCCGGGCGCCTTTGGGCGCAAGCCCCCGCTCCCTGGCTACAGGGTGAACGATGTTAAACGCAAAGAGTGAAGGTTTTTTCGGGGTTTTGTGGCCCAGAGCAGAAGCTTGAAGATCAAGCTTGTGCGGTACGCAAGGAATGAAGCATGCGGAGAGTCACCACATTGAGCGCATCCGGGAGCATCTTATTCCGCACCAGTGGCCAGGGATGGGATGGGCTATCACCTGTCGAACTAACAACAATTTGACAAGGAAAACCATCTCAAATCTCAATTCCTGCGCAGTTCACGTCTCGACCCAAGGAAAAAGTCGGCAGGAAAGTTTGTCTTCAACTCGCCGCTGCCTCCTGGCTGGGGTGCCTTGACATCAAATGACCTGCCTTTGGACTTGCGGCTGAAGTTACATTGTCGCGGTCGAATTTAAGCCTCTGAGCCCAGGACCTCCTCCCGACTTCGTGCCGTTGGAACCTCCAGCGAGCAGGCTGAGTAGAGAACAAGTGAGTGTCGCTCGGAGTGTGACTGAAGATGGCCAGGTTGCGGAGAAGGAGCATGCCGAAGGTACCAAAGCCGCCAGGGTCGCCCAAATCTCGCTGAACACGGCGTCGGGTCCGAGTGAATGGAACTTGTGAACTGCGGAATTGGCCAAGTGAGCCCCAACAAGGGGCATGTGCTTGAGCCTCGTCTTAGGGTTTTGGGGGTCTGGCTGAACAGCAGCCCTTTGTAGGAGGATGTGTTCCACAATTCCGCGCATTGCAGACAGGACATCACGACATGTGGAATCCTCCTCGCTTGCAGACTTCCCGGGATATTTAGAACGGAGCAGTCAGACACCGTTGTTTGAACGGCCGTGCTGCCTTGAAGAGGTAGTTTCACTATGCCGTGGCCACAGCACGTCCTGTCGAGAACGAGGACGCCCTCACTGCGAGCAGAACGTGACGAAAACATATGCCAGTAAGCAGTCAACATTATTTTAAGAGTCGTCAAGACATCACAATCCATTTCGTTGCAGATACCCCTCCTTACACAGAGAAACACGGCGGTAGCAGATGAAGACGCAGTTGGGCCAGTGTGTCCCTGTCAACGTCCCGTCATGTAGAGTCTTTGTTGTGCATCGTCGAGCCGACCCTGCCAGCAGCCCAGCAGCCCAGGCGACAAGTACCATGCGCGGTGACGGCCAATGTCCACGGAACTTCCTGCACAGGCAAATGCTGATGACGAGTGTACATGTCCAGTAGCGGACAAGTTGAGCATGTAGTTCAGGTACAGGCTGGCGTTCAAAGCAGCAGGCAAGGTTTGCATCTCCCAGGCATCTGTGAGTGCTGTACTTCTGTGGGTTGTGCAGGCGAGTTTGCGACGGCTTCTGCACCGCTTCCCAACGATTTGACGCACTTTATGCGACATGGTGTGCGAGCAAGCCTAGAAGTGGAGCCATAGCACGTCCTAGCTGGAGCTGTGTCAAGCATATCAGTTGACACTTCTCGTACCCGTTGGAATCCAAGGCAGAGCTGCGTGGCGCCGCTTGTTTGCAGTAAGATTCAGTAAGATGCGGTGAGGCGACGTGGTGTCCTTCGGCCTTTAGCTCTGTTGTGAATTTAAACAGAGCTTTAGCCACTTGAGCTTTGTCCTCAGGGCTGGCCCGGGCTCGAGCTCCGCCGTCATCTCGGCCCAGAGCCTCTGGCGATGCCCTGACTGGGATTTGTTGGAGCCCATCTCGCCGGAAAAGGGTGCGAGGCTGGCTTCCGGCAAAGGACAGCCCGATCAGAATGGGAGTCACAGGAATTGTGAGTTGAAGGCACAGCCAGGGGAGGGCACAGCCAAGGTTCAGTGGGCGGCTTCCCCCTACCAAAGGAAGCAAGGCAGGACATGGCTGTGATGAAGGGAAGGTGCCAGGGCTAGGACCGGCTAGGATGTGCAAGGTGCTCTTCACCACGCAGTTTAGCTTGGCTGTCTGCAATCTTTCAGGGTGCCGGCCTTGCATCCACAGTGTCTGTGCCCGAGTTTCTGCAACTTCGAGCGATCTGCAGTGTTGGCTGGAACAGAATCAGGTGTGCTGGGAGTCTTTGCTATCAGGTCCCTTGGAGCTCTCCATGGTCCTCGGAGGGACCAGTTGCAACTTGTACTTCCTGTAATAGCAGAAAAATGGGATCTTGGCGTTTGGAGGACCTGCAAGCTGCAGTGGAAGCACGCCTCAGTGCAGCGCCCGGGGGCCCGGTTTTGGCCACGTAGCCGCTGCACATCCTTGCATCCTCCGTGATCCTGGGTGCTGCTAGGCCCTTTGGCGTCGTGATGGGGGAGGCTCGGAGCGGCTCGTGCTGTTGTGACCCGAACTGAAGATTGGGCCCCACTCTTAGACTCCCGGGTCACCAGTCACAAGCCGCCCGTGTCGGCCCTTTGCTTCACAGGTCCCTCGCGAGTCGACGCTTCGGTCCAGCTTCACTTTGCGGGAGGGGTTTGCAAACGACTGACCTACCCGTAGCATTTTGTTCGGTGTCACTGCTTTCGCTGTTTAGCCGTGTCGGCCAGGTTGCCGTTCTCTCAATGCCTTACCAGCCTGGTGCCAGGACACGCAATGGCCGCCGGCAGAGGGGCGAACACGCATAGGCAGTGACACCTGGTTTCCCTTTCCCAATCCAGCATGCGTGGACACATGCCATCCTGCATCGTCATGGCTGTCGCGTAGTCGCAGGTGAAAATGCATGTAGGTTTTGAGGCCTAGGGCTTGAGGACACTGCTTGCTGGAAGCTGGACTGGAGCCCTTGTCCTCAGGCTGACGCCCCGCGATGGCATGGTGCCTGGACTCAGCAGAAGAAGCTTGCTGCGGCTAACAGTGTGTCCTAAGCAAGGCATCAAACGTGCTAGGTTAGATGCAAGCAGGCGGCACACCACGGCTGTGTTGCAAATTCCGGCGGGGAGACGTTTCGGCTCGCTGATAGGCCTCCTGAAAGGCTCGAGGCTGAGGCAGGGAGACCGCAGCCAGCGAGCCTGGCCAGGTGGAAACGCCGGTTTCAGGTGTCAGGAAAAGTCGACACTCACGACAAGGTGATAGCGTCTCTTGGTAGTACACGTTCTCCCTGCCTCATGACGGGGTCCCATGCCCTACGCATACCTGCAGCAATGGACGACCCTTCAGAGTTGTCCAAGATGGTGCATGATGTGCTGGTGCAGCACAATCAAGCACTCTTCGATCGCCTGGAGAACTGGCTTCTGAACTTGGACCTACGACTCCACCAGATCAGTGATCAGGCATCGGAGAAAAACCTCAGCTGTCATGAGATCTGTTTTGCTTACGAGTCGCTCCGTCTTCCGCCTTGAGGCAGACTGGCCCAGAAGGGCCCCAGATTCGCCAGCTTTCGCATCTCACTTGTCCCGGGTCTTGGAAACGGAGGAGGAGCTTCCTTCGGCTCCAGCGCACATTTGCCAGCCGTAAAGCGGTGTTGTGTGCATGTCCTGTTTCAGATGTCAAGAAAAGCAGTCCCTTCGTCACTCTCAGCCCTACTGTGCAACGGCCTCTTCTTTTCATGCTCCTTCTTTCGGAGGAGGGTGGCGTGCTCAAGGAAGCTGCAGATAGCAGTGAAAGTGCAGGCGGGTGGTGCCTTGAAAGGGCTTCTCAGGCGGGTGAGAGGGTCACCAAGCCGGGCCTCATCCGAGTTATTTAGACCGCGTTGCGATCTAGCCAGAATCTCGTCTTCGCGAAGCGCTCGGACCATGCGTCCTGTGAGGAGGGCGATCACCAGGATCCCCTGCTGCTGGATTGGATCGTTCTGGCAGCATGCGCAGATGCTTGTCTGCAGAGAGGTCTGTGGAGCCTCCGTGAGTTTGGATTGGGACTGCTCTGATGCACTGATCACTGATGCCCCCTCCAGGCGAACTGGCAGCGGCCCGCAAGAGGGCCACAGAAGTAGTCGATGCCTTCCACCTCGAGAAGATGGAGCAAGAGTCCCAGGGCTGAAAAGTAGGCAGTTCTCGCAATAGTCCTCAACGACATTTTCTCGGGCGCGCACAAGCCCCCATTGTGCACATCAGATCTCCAAGCGAAGACAAGACTGTGTGTGCCTCCTGCGACAACGGCAAGACTGGAGCGAAGCTCAGAGCGCTCCTAAGGATAGTCGAAGAGCCCCAGGAAGTGAAGGGCTGTTGGGGGCATAGCTGCCGACTGGCAGCTCGAATCCTCGCCTCCCAGGCCAGGCCAGTTCCCCATCTCCCATGTTTTCAGCTCTGAGGAGGCTCCTTGAGTTTCAGTGAAGGTGTAGGTCACGCTTTGGGGGTGATCACTTTGACTTAAGGATTCACGAGCTGGGCCTGCCAGCTCTGACTCAAGCCAAAGTAGGGGTGGCAAGTTACTGAGCTTTATACACGGTTACGGAGCCACTCGAGGTCCGGTTTTGTTGAATCGTCTGCAAGCTCTGAGAATCTAGATGCAGGAACATGTTGCTGTTGCCGTCAGGTCTCGCACGTTTTCTTCGCCTTGGTGGTGGTCTCCAACTCTGTGTACCTGGGAGTGCAGCTTGAATACCAGGCGGTCAACAAGGACTACGGATCAAACGACGGGTTTATGGTGCTACACATCGTCTATGCCATTCTTTTCACGTTGGAGGCAGGGTCGCAATGCGTGTAGATTGACAAGTTGAGGACATAGCTGACACCCCATCAAAGGAGCTTTAGGCCCTAAGGACCTAAGCTGACGAAAGAGATGCTGCACATCTGATCATCTGGTCTTGTTGTCCAGCTTGTTTGTCATACCTCCTTGCTGGAGGTTTGCTTACACCTCATGGCGGAGGGCATTCGGGGATTCGTTTGTGCCGAAGACTGGACGTGGAACTGGCCGTCTGTCTGCAGGTGGAAAGGAGCTGTCGTCATGGACTCACGGGAGTTTGAGGGAGAGGTAGATCCGACATCACCATGTTGCGTCGGTGCAGTCCGTAGAGCGACTTGAATCAGATCTCAGGCTGGATGTATTTGTCGTGACTTCCTCCTGGGTGGAGCTGCTGGTAGACTTGACAAGCTCGGGAGACAGCACGAGCCGGGCCAATAGCAATCTGCGGCTCATGCGCCTACTCCGTGTTGGTCGTCTATTCCGCGTCGTGAGGATCATCCGCGTGGTGCAGCCCCAAGACTGCTTGCTACTTGTAGCTACTTATCGCCTGATGTGTCCAGCATGTGCAGCCAGCACACTGCAGGTATTGCATGGTCTTCCTAACCGAAGAAGCAGGATCCCGAACGGGTCCCCCTCGAGACCTAAAGTGTTGAAACCAGATAAACGGACCTGGGTCGGGTTGTTGCTGTGGAACTCCTGGAGACCGTGAGGTCAAGTTCTTCCGGTCTCTACGAACTCTGGTTCACTCGTTGGTGGGCACCTTGAGATCTCTGGTTTGGGCAATGATCCTCCTCGGGCTGATCATTTACATTTTTGGAATCCTGCTTACAGACGCGGTGCTTGATGCAGTGGTCGAGGCCGAATCCTTACAGATTCCTCTTCCTGAGAATGGAAGTGGAGAGAACGTGGCCCACTACTTTGGGACCTTGTACCGCTCCATTGTTACCCTTTTCAGAACCATCTCCAACGGTGTGACATGGCAGAATCCCGACGATCTGCTTGTTGGCATGAATTCCCTGGGCGAATTCTGGGCCCAAATCTACCGCTTTTACATCGCATTCTGTAGTTTCGCGGTACTTAATGCACCCAGGCTGCAGATGCTTGAGTACCGGTTCACAGCTTCTTCGGATTTGTTGTTTTGTTTTTTCCAGGGCTGGGCTATGCATCTGCCTGGCTTTGTTAGCCAGCTTGCTCCCTTGCTTTAGCTGGGTGTTTTGGACCAGGCTCAGCCAAACAAATGCTGTCTTGGCAACTCAGATCGTGCTTTGTCGTTCTGTATATGATCGGGGCAACTGCTTGATACGGCTTGTAGAAGAGCGCTCTTGCAGTTTTATTTCTGGGGAGTGCTTGTGGTCTCGCAGTTCAGTACAGCGAGCCAGTCTACTCTACCGGTTCTAAAATCCTATCCTGGCATGTTTTAGTAGTGTTGTGTGTTGGAATGCGACGCACGTGATAGGATCTCTCCTAACCCCTGCGAAGCCACCGGCCCTGTGGGCAGCCTGTGTCTTACGCCACACGCTTGATCACCTTGATGCTGCTCAACATAACATAGGACGGGGAGCGTGAACCTCCTATGTTGCAGTCATGCCAAGTGAAAGGGATCTTGCATGCCACCATCTCTACTCGCTCACCTGTGACAATGATGTCTCATCGCCATCTTTCGCGTTTTTATCATGAAGGGTGGTTGCTTTTCCCTTTGTATGAAGGACTCACAGAGGTCTCCTGTCTATGTGCGGACAGAGCAAATTTAGCTAGCCCATGAAGCTCTGGGTAACAAGTTGGGAGGTCAGGTCAGGAGTGTCGCCGATCTTAGCGCGCAAGCATGGCACAGGAGGCCGGTACGCTCCCGTATGTTGTGTGTGAGAGTGCGATGCTCGTGATAGGATTTTCCCGCATGTTTCTTAACCCGCATGCTGCTAAGCTATGTGATCCCTGAACCTCGTATCTAGGATGTCCCTCAGGACAGAACTTGGTTTACGCTGTCCGCAATTACGTGCCTTCAGATGTGCCAGGGATCGTGAACATCTTATGCTGCAATCATGCCTTCCTTGTGCTTCTGACCTCTTTTCTTGTCGTTACATGAAGCCTTGGTTGCTTGCTCTCGCGTGACAGCGATGTCTCATCTCGGTGGAGGTATTGAGTTTTGGACCCTCTTTCCCTCATGAAGTTGTAGAAACACAGGGACCGCAACGAGGGTTTACATTGCTCGGGAGTGTTGTGATTTGCTCTGCCTGCGTGGGCTTTTGTAGGTGCCGTGGTCCTCCGCTTGCACGTTAGCTGTTCGGGTATTCGCACACAAAGTAGTTGAGAAAACACGTACCCCGGGCATGTTTCCTAGTGTAACTACAAGTGCCAGGTTAGGACAGAACGAAGACTCATCAACTGAACATTTGGCTCAAGGAAAACAAGTGCGATTGCTGTACTTGTTGCTGTTCCTTGCTAGAACACTTGTGTCTCTTGTGTTCTTCTGGTTAACAGCCTCAGCTTTGAGAGTTTCGTTTGTGTTGTGGCTAGGAGAACTAGAGCCTCTACCTGAGCCATAGCCGTGCATATTTCTCCACCGTCCTTTGGTGTAGAGAGCGAAATCGCATTGCGTAGGGCATTCGCTGTCCTGCCTCGTGCTGATACTCCCCGCGTCGAGCTAGAGCCAGGCCACCGGGTTGAGTTCCATATTTGCAAACATTACGCACTTCAATCACTGGGTTAGATTCATACAACAGCTGCGCGTGCGACAGATAACACGTGGACTTGTCAGTCACCCGCTGAATCTTTGGACTAGACTTGCAAGGGCCCTAAGGAAAAGGGTTTACAGGCAAGCCAGACTAAGGGTTCAAGAACTTCTCACACTTCGCAGGTGGTTTAGTCGTAGACTTGAGGAGGTACCTGTCCCGTGGTTTCCGCTTCGTGGACCCTCCCCTTGGCCTCAGGCACCACCTTAGTCACCGTGTATGCCCAGAGCAGACGGGCATCCGACTGTGTGTGAAACTCTGCACGACTGGTTTGTGGATCTTTACTATAGCATAAGACTTTGGGTACTTGAGACGTTCTTCCCCACTTACCTTGAGAATCGTAGGAGGTGGAACAGGACTAGAACGCGCTGGCGAAGGATTGTTCGCAGGTCCATTGAATCGTGGTATCGCACATCCTTCTTCTTGTACCGATTGCATCAAATACATAGGGTTACCCAATTCCGATACGCAGACGATTACATCGATTGGGGAATCCCGAGATACTACCCATAACCAAAAGGCTGCATTCGCGCTTGCCTCCGCCTGCTGCGTCGAGGCTGCTGCATTGCAACAGGTAAGGGTGTCCTTGGGTCGCCGCGTTGGCATCTCGCCACCGGTGGACTTAATCTGAACCCCAAGCCTGAATTCCCAACTCGTGTCTGCTTGAGCAATTGAGTGGACTTGCAAATTATCCAATCAAGGATTGTGGCGAGTACCCATACACCTCTTCCAAGACCCGTTCACGGTTTAGGAAGGCCTAGGGCTTTGTGGTGTGACGGGTTTTGTGAAGGGTTGCAAACGGTTTCCCATCACCGCCATCGTCCCAAACAACATCGAAGGCACATCCTACAGTCCCGCGGTTCTCCCTTTAGGTTGAGGACTTGTGGTTGACTGGGTTATTGCCCTCCTGTTGGCATCCCGCCACAGGAGCAACAATCAACAAAGCACCATTGCCCGAGCACTGAAATCAAAGATTCAGGATTCGGCGTCAAAGACGATTGTGCATCACCTCTGTGCTGGCTTGAAGCCGACGGATTGCTTGTTAGTGTGGTTGGGGTTTTCCGGTTATTAGTCATCCGAGGAACCGTTAAGGCTGTGAAGTCGAGCTAAGGCAGTTCGCACACACATCCATTCACCTTTAGAGCCATTCTAACGGCACGGGGGAAGGTTGATTGAAAGCCACTGTAACGGCTTTGGGATTGTATAGTGTTTTTGGGAATGGATCCCACATCTCGGCAGATTCTCGCCCTCTCGCCGGCCATTGCCGATGACGAGAGGCTGCAACAATCTATTGAGATATTCAATGGGCTATCTGGAAATTAAAAATAGGAGAAGGAAAGGATTGGCCATAACCATTCTCAACATCTTCAAGCAGCACCTACACACGTTGGAGACTCCACAGGCATCAGATCTCCTCATTGTAGTGTGCAGGCGAATTGCTGAGATTGAGGAGCCAGGCTTTCTCTTTGGTCAGTCGGTGCCGCTTTTGCAAGACGATCCTAGCGACTATGCTGATGCATCAGGGCGCGACGACGATCGTGAGGAGCTTAATGCACCGGACGACGACGATCGTGAGGAGCTTAGTGCTCCGGACGACGATATCCACGAGGAACCTAATGCACCGGACGCCGATATTGAGGAGTCTAATGCACCGGGCGCCGTAGTGGATGTCGTGGATCTTTTGGATGAGGTCCCAGAGCCGCCGAGACCTCCTGCTAGTGCCTCGGCCAACTTGCCTCCTACTCCGAAGCCCCCAAGGTCTAGACCAAGAATAGGTGGTATTAGGACGCCGGTTCCTCCACCTTCTAGGCCCAAACACTTGGGGATTAGAACACCAATCCCTCCATCTGCAGGACGGGAGGCTCCAGAAGGGGGCTACTTGGTAGTTCGCCCCAAGAAGCGGCCAAAGCCGCCACAGGACCTAGAGGGAGAAGATTTGACCCGAGAATTCCCAACAATTTCTGAGTCTTTCCTTCCTCGTAGTGTTGATCCGGTTGTTGAGGGTTCGTTAATTCTTGGACCACATCGGAATGGGAGAATTACAATGCCAAACAGGAATCTTCTGCAGCCGCCTCTTCCTCTGATTCTGCTCCTGCAGCTGCTTCTTCCGTTGATCCTGCTCCTGCAGCGGGCGCCATTTGGGTTGAGCATTTTGCTCTCGACGGTGCAATTGCAGAGTTCCGCAGGCGATCTGCTGCTGATCATATTCTGACGCTGGATTGGCATGGTGTGGCGGATAAGAGCCTTGAGGTCACTTCCCGTGTTTTCTCCTCGTGCGCGAGCCGGCCTGATATTTTGATGGCAATCTTGTCGAAGACGGAAACGCAGCGATTCAAGGAGGTCACATTCAGGGAGACTGACCAAATGGCTCGGGCGCGTGGCATCACGGTATTGTGCCTTTTCACACCGCGTGCCGTCGGAAAAGACGGAAAATCCAATGCACTTTGGGCGGCGATTAATGGCTCCGGCGCGTCTTTTCGAACGATCACACATGTTGACGATCGGGAGGATATCGTACGAGACTTCAACCGCTTTAATGCACATGGATGGCGCGGTATCCACATGCCTACCTGGGAGCGCCGAGATCTGCACCAGCTTCTGACTGATCAGGGCGTTCTCTAAAAGAAAATCTGGTGCCACGTTATCAGTCCTAACTTCCTCTTCGTTGTGTGCTGCGGCATTTTGCTTTGTGCTGCACCCGGGGTGGATTCATTGGATTGTGATTCGGGTCTTAAGGTTCATTCTTTCGGGTTTGTGACGTTGGCATTCCGCCTTCCCACGCTTGTTAGGTGCTGCGGCATTTTGCTTAGTTCTGCACCCTAGTGTGGTTTCCCATTGGCCCGAGAACCGAAAACAATTGCAAACCGAACATTGTGGTGTTGGCATTCTGCCACCCACAGTGGTAACAATGGCGTCTTCACATGAGATGGAGACGGATCCCCTGCAGATCTCTTCCACTTCTGCCTCCGACGAAGCGGCAGCTGCTGTGCAGGCACCGGATGTGTCATTCGGGTTATCGGTCGTAACCGCAACTAAACAAAGTAGCGGGAGCGAGAGCTCACCCAGGAGTGCGAGTAGAACCGCATCCGAGGGTAGGATTGTTGCTGCATCATCATCAAATAGGCCTTCGAGGGCTTCTAGTCCCTACCTACCATAGGAACAAAACCGCCCCAAAACCAAAGCACATGTATGCGTGCGAGGTTGCAAAGCCTAAGATGCCAACGCCTTCCGGTAATCCAGTGACGCTTGGACCACCAACACAGGAGGTTCATCTGCATAAGCATCAGCAGTTGGGTGTCATTGTACAAGGGGTTGACCCACAGGTTCATTCCCAAGCATTGGCGCAAGCCCAGATTGTTGAAAGCCAGGCAGTAGCGTATGTTTCCGAGGTTCAACAACAAGCTCAGGATCAGGTCCAGGCTATCGCCGCCAACATGAGCAACCAAGCCCAAACACGGGTTCAGGCCATTGAGCAACAGGCGCAAGCTATGGTTTCGGAGGTTTCCGTTGAAGCTTCGAGGCAACTAGCTGTGGCAAATGAGACCATTGCTAGCTTGAAGCAACAAAACGAGATGTTGGCTCGTCAACAGCAGGAGCTTTACAGTCAGATCGCAAAGTTGCAAAGCATCGTAGCTGAAGTTAAGGCTGGTGCTGTGAATACGAGTGTACCTCAGATTCCTCAAACCCAAAATGGCGCGGAGATTACTGAAGCGCTTAAGGCCATGGCATCACATGTTGGACAAACCATGAATGAGCTTAAAGATGCAGTGTTGTCCTCGTCCGCCGGAAATTCACCAAAGGCGAAGGGGCGCAGGGATCATAAGAAGGATTCGGATTATTCGGTATCGGGGATTCCACTTGGCAAAGCTGCTAAAGCCCCGTACTTATCCAGTCCCCCACCTTATGCATGCGAACGACAAGCATCAACGAATTTCTTTGATGCATGGGCACGGTCCTCATCATCACTTGCCAATCGCCCATCGACTTATTCATGTGAGAGGTCGGCAACAACATCATCGAATACGAATGCATCACCTGTGTTCACGACACCATTCTCTAGCCTAAGACCTTTAGCGGGACAGGCTACAAGTAAAGGTATCGGGATTGGTGCGGGTTTTGCGCCCGCTATTACACCCATTGCTGGGCCTCCGGGGCCGCCACCGCCTCCTGAGCCTGAGATCTTCAACATAGGAGTTCCCGAGGAGGGTGAAGAAGAAGAGCAGGTTGATGATGATCCCATTGTTGAGCCGCGAGCTGCTGGTAACAATGATCGGGGTTATGATGGTGGTGCTGATGCTCAGCCTCATGATGGAAATGAGGAAGAGGACTATGAAGCAGCTACTTATAAGAATAAGGATCATAAAGACCTGAAGATGCCACAGCTTCCAAAGGATAGTGTGGGTTTCCGATCGTGGCGGAACGCGCTACTGACGCAGTGCTCTGCCATTGATCGCACGGGTCAAGCCAGGATTCTTAGATGGCTGCAAGTATGCATTAGAACTGAGGTGACAAACCGCGAGATTGCGCAACTCCAGAACAATCCTGATCAGCTCCCACGGTTAGACTCATTCCTTGCATCGCAGATTTCGGATTCGAGGTACATGAAAGGGGAGTTCGGGCTTGAAGTGCAGGCGTACATTGAGAGGGCGCACGCACATGGAGTTTTACCATCTGGTCGAGCGATGATAGCAATGCTTTCGCGCAGGTTTCGCGTAGATCGGGTGAGAGGTGCTACGGTCACACAGCAAACGTTTTTGGCTGTAACGTTGGACGGATTCTCATACAATCAGATGCAGACTTTTAAGGAAAGAGTCGAGTACATTCTGAATGGGATAGCCCCTGAGCACTGGCCGTCTGACGCGACCTTGTTTTCGTGGTTTTACGCTAAGATTAAGAGTTCAAGGGGAATGCAACGGATCATTGACAAAGTTAAGGATTCCTCCCCAACTTCCCGTAGGAGAACGTTCGGATGGCTCTGGGAGCAATTCTCAGATCACTTGGCAGAGCTGCGTGAAGACGCCAACGAGCGTGACTTTAGGGAAGCAATGCTGAGAGAAACCGAGGGAAAAGGGAATAAGGCCACGGCAAAGCCTAAAGGTCAGGATGCTAATGCAAAGGCAAAGTCGATTGCAACAGCAGTTCCCGCAAAGGACACCGCCGTTCCAGCAGCGCCCGGAAAGCCTCCCAAAGGGACACCAAAAGGTAAGGCTAAGGCTAAATCCAAGGCTAAGGCTAAGGGTGGAGCCAAGGGTGACGGATCCGGTGAGGATAAAGGCAAAGGTAAAGGAAAAGGGAAAGGCGATCCAAAGGGTTCCCCGCCAAAGGCGGATGCAAGCGCTAAGGCTAAAGCTACCGTACCATGTGTGTTCTTCCCAAAAGGAACATGCAACCGAGGCAAAGACTGTCCATTTTCACATGAGACAGGGGGGAGCGGTAAGCCCAAAGGAGCTTCTAAGCTTCTACTTCATCAGCCGCGGTAGCATTGCTACTCCCAACAACGGCCGCAGGGAGAGCTATCGGAAATGCAACACGTGTTGGCAAAGCTGCCACTCGTGATTCCCGCAATAGCCTGTTGCGTATCGGTTTTAATGCCGTTTGCAAAGCGCTTGCTACACTTGCCACCTTTGTCTGTCCTGACTTTTCTGCGATTGCACATGAAGCTTGGACATCGCAATCCCTCGCAGCGCCTGCCGTTCTTTCGTTGCCAGCCGGGGTTCAAAGGGCTTCGGGTTATAGCTATAACCTTGACTGGATAGCGGATTCTGGCGCAGGTCGCAGCTTGACCTCTTTTGAGTCGTTGAGGGCTCAGGGTGTTTGTCCCGATGACCTCGTATGTCACGAGGATGAGCCAGTATCCTTTGAAACGGGTAACGGTAGGACTGAAAGTAGTAGCACCTTCAACACTGTTGGAGCTATCTTTGGGCATCATAAAAGCTATGTGCTGAATAGTTGCCCCACTGTTCGGAGTATGGGCGAACTCGTCACTCAAGGTTACGCCTTCATCTGGATGCCAGGTGAATTGCCGTACTTTGCGCCCCAGGACGCAATACAGCTAGCAGCTGATAACACACGGATTCACAAGGCAGCTAGGGTTGAAGGTAATGTACCGATTTTCTCCGAAGAAGTTCAGTTCGCCATGCCGGCCCAGAAGAAGTTGATGCATGACTCAGCCCGTTCGTCAAAGACTTCAAAACAAATCACTGTTGATTCGGAGTCACGTGAAATCTTCTATGATCCCGGAGTCCCTAGCTCATCAGCCGCAGGATCTAGGGATCCCGACCCGACCGTAGAAGTAGAGGAACCAAAGGCTCCCGAAGAAGATTCCGATCAACTAGTACCGCCGCCACCGTTACCGCCACCGTTACCGCCACCGGCAAAGCCACCAGGTGATGGCGAGATGGCAGATTCAGAAAGAGAGTCAGGTGAAGAGGATGGGCTTTCTAGGCATCGGAGGCTTGTAAAAGAGGCGCAGAGTCTTGAGCATAGATTATCCCATTTTCCAAAGAACCCGGCATGCCCCACATGCCAAAGGAGTAGGATGTATCGAAAGCGAGTCACGTCGAAGCGCACGGACCCACTCGAGGATCGAGGAATGCTGCCCGAGGTGACACAATTTGGGGAAAGGATCGCCACTGATTTCATCATCGTAAGAAAGCTTAAAGACGGCAAAGAAAATGCAGTCCAAGTAGTGCGCGATGAATATTCAGGGTGGATTAGAGCATATCCGATTGCAAAAAGGGACACGGATTCGGTTTCGAGAAACCTTCTGTTGTTCTTAGGCCCAGCATATGATGATCGAACAACCGTCATGTGCAAATCCGATCAAGCAGGTGAGATTGTGGCTGCATGTAAGCGTTTGGGCTTCATACATGAGGGTATGCTTGAAAATCGTTTTCCCCACAATTCACAGCTTGAACGAGACATTCGAACCATTGAAGAGATCGCGAGAGCTACGCACTTAGGTGCTGGTTTCGAGGTCGTTCCGGACTTATGGCCGTTAAGTGTAGACTACGCGGCTACAATGTTATCTGCAAAGCACATTGCTGCTGGCAAAGATCAGACTCGCCACTGCCTCGCAGTTGGCACGGTGTTCACTGGACGTAAGCTTCTGTTGGGACAGCTCGTGCATTATCGTGTTGACCCTACGCTGAGGGATAAGATAGCTCCTTCAACGAATCCGGGTTTGTTCGCTGGGTTTAGATACGATTCGGGCCCAAAGAGCTTTAAAGGGGTGTTGTATGTTCTGGATTACCAAAAGGTCAAGAATCGCACTCCCGGTTATGCACTCCCCATAGCTGTTCCTACTGAGGAGGTTTGGGTTCATGACAAACAGCCGCCACAACTTCCTTTGAAGCGTGCTGCCGAAACTGCGTTAGCAAACTTTGATCAGCCAAAGCTAGATGACATTCAACCTTTAGACATACCGTTTGCTGCGGTTGATGGCGTAACAACACCACGGACGGACAATGAGTAGATTACCATGGATAGAGTTTTCAAATTCGGTGCCACACCGGGGTGCCGAGGATGCGAATTCGAATCAACCAAACATACGCCGCTTTGTAGGGCTAGATTCAATGCATTGATTCGCGCCGACAGAATTGCCAAAGCTCCTATGACACCACCTGTAGCGTCTGCTGATCCAGTTGGCTCCCGAGCCACGGAGAATGCAGATCCAGGGGGGTCACATGAAGAGGCCGCGAGTGCTGAACATGTTGAGCAAGGTGCTGTTGGTAAGATTGTTGATGACATTGATACGAAGTTCCTTGAACGGCACTCCGTGATGAATCACGCGAGGCGCATTGCAACGCTGACAGAGATGCCAGGCATGAACGTGCTGTTAGAGTATGCTGGTCATGTGGATTCAAAGCTTGCACAAGCCGTCAATGAGATAGGCGCTAAGTGCATAAAGTTATCCTCCGATGTAGTTGACCCGACAAACAAAGATCATGTTGATCAGGTTTTGGGACAGCTTCAACATCTAAAGGGTTCTGACCTTTGGATTAATTTGTCCTTCATAGAACATCACAAAGGCAAGCATAAAGCACATCGCAAGGCAATCGAAGATTCATTGCGTCAAACATTGCCACTGTTGCAAACCTGTCTTGACAATCATGGCAGAATAGCCGTAGAAGGACCCCAGAAAGCGTATGCGTGGAATCACAAGCTGTGGAAAGATTTTAAGTCAGCCAACTGCCTGAAGCGTGTATCCTTCGATGGGTGTATGCTCGGCTTTGAGGGTGATCATTATCCCAAGCATCGTCCACTGTGTGTTTCGACCAATAGTCTGAACCTCATACAGTATCTGTCTCAGTACCAATGCGACGGTAGCCACGCGCATGAGCACTGTAGCAACGCACATCAGGCATGTGAGGATGCAAGTCCGATCAAGTTCGCCAAAGTTGTTGCAGAGGCTCTCTTTCCATCGCATGCATTTAAAAGCGTGCCGCACATGACAGGTGCATATGGTATGGTGACACAAAACTTGCCACGAAAGGTTTGGATGCAAGACCCGAGGGGCTTACAGGCAGTGCAAAAGGAGGCTGACGGACTCAGGGCCAACAACACCTGGGATGATTCCTCAGCTATCCTTCTGACTAGCCTTCGGAGTCAAGCAAGAGCCCAGAATCGAAAGATTAAAGTGGCAGAGTTGCTTACCTTGTGTGGTGTTAAACATATAGAGTTGGAACCACACCAACAAAAGTGGAAAGGTAGAATCGTGTATCGTGGTGATTATGTAATGGACGCATCACATAACATCGTCTTGTTTGATGACACAGCGACATCGCCGCACAGCGCTTACGTCGCTAAACATGACGTTTTGGTTTGGGTGTAGAAAAGGTTCAACCCTTACTTTTAGTGACGCGATCCAAGCATTTCTTCAAGCAAAGCTCGAAGAAGACACGTGGGTTATTTTGCCTTACGAACTCTGGACCACAGAGATGAAGGAGAAGTTTGATCCAAACGCCAAAATTGCCGTAAAGCTGATGCGGAGCCTATACGGGCATCCACTTGCCGGAAAGTTATGGCAAGAACATCTTGCAGAGAAATTACGGTCGATAGGAGGCGAAGAGGTCCCAGGACATCCTTCAAATTGGTTGTTTTGGTTTCAGGGTGAGCTCCTAGTCTTGAATATTTACGTTGATGATTTGAGTCTTGCCGGGAAGGCAGATCTACACCAGAGATTCTGGGATCAACTGCGCAAACTAATCAAGATTGAGCCGGAAACCAAGTTTGAAGATGGGGCCAGGGTTCTTGGCAGAAATCACACGATTCACCGCAGTCCGAGTCATACAACTGTTACTCTTGACATGCGTGCTTATGCCGAACAGGTCGTTGAGTTGTACTTGGAGTTGTCTGGTTTAGAGCAAAAGAAGTTGCGCAAAGTACCTACGCCTTGTCTCTCGGAAACTAGTATCTCCGACGAGGATCTAGCTGTAGAAGGAGAGCTTAGCGGTGTAGCCGCACGCATTCTTATGAAGATGCTGTGGCTGGCGCGACTATCGAGGCCAGATCTTTACTTCATTACTGGAAGACTTGCAACAAAGGTCACGCGATGGACCCGATGGGAAGATAAGGTTTTGTTTAGGGCAATAAGCTATCTTAACGGCACAGTAGACCTGTGCTTAACAGCCTCTGTATGTCACAATGAAGAACCGAGTCTTCATGTGTACACTGACGCAGATTTTGGTAGCTGTCCTTTCACCAGCAAATCCACATCTGGTATCTTCGTTTGCATCGAGACAGGAGAGTCAAGGTTCCCTGTCTTGTGGTCCTCACGTAAACAATCTTCCGTAGCGCACTCAACGCCAGAGGCAGAGGCAATCGCCATGAGCACTGCCATGTTTTCAGAAGCGATAAACAGTCAGACTTTCATGCAGTACTTGTTGGGTTACTGTTGCAAGACAACATACCATCAAGATAACGAGACCCTGCTTACGATTCTTGCTAGCGGTTACAGCGCTAAGTTGAGGCATTGTGGTAGAGTGCACCGCATCAACATCGCCTCGATGTCGGAGCAAATTGATAACGACTCAGTAGTTGCGACGTACTGCCCTACAAAAGAGCAGATAGCTAACGGCCTTACTAAGGTAATAAACCCCTGTGAATGGCCAGTCATGCTAGTCCAACTAGGTCTTAAACTTGTTCCCACAGAGGAGAGAGCCCTCATAATCTTAGCAGACACAGTAGCACGTGCTGAAGCGTTTGCTGGCAGCCTGCCACAGCGCATCAATAAACAGCATCTCGTGCAGCTGCTGTCTTACCTACCGCAAGAGCAATCAGCAAGGGCTGAATCTGCAGAAGGTGTTCATTCCTTCGCATCAGGTGCTTGCATCGTTGGTGTAAGGAATATGACAAGATTGTTTCCCAAAGCGACTGCCGTTATCACTAGGTTCTTTGAGCAACTGATGCCCTCGCACACATTTACCACCGTAATCGTGCAAGAAGGTGTAATGACACCGATGCATAGGGATTCGCACAACGCACCCGACTCTAAGAATCTCCTTGTGAGCCTAACGCCGTGCACAGAACCGCTGCTGTGGGTTGAGGATCCTGAAGGTGACTCCCCATGTCCAGCACCAGGCGTTCGCCTACGAGGATTCTTCCTCAAGAGTCCTGCGAGGTTTGATCCAAGGCGTTGGCATTTATCTGTTGCCACCAGCAATCCTAGGTTCACTGCAGTTGCCTTTACAATCAGAGGTTCGACCAATATCAGTCCTGATGACGGTCACTTGTTACAATCGCTAGGCTTAGAGCTCAAGCAGCCGTAGACTGTTGTACATATCAGCATTTGTACAGGCTCGTAGAAGCGTTCGTACATGTCCTAAAGGGGGGAGTTGAGAAAACACGTACCCCGGGCATGTTTCCTAGTGTAACTACAAGTGCCAGGTTAGGACAGAACGAAGACTCATCAACTGAACATTTGTCTCAAGGAAAACAAGTGCGATTGCTGTACTTGTTGCTGTTCCTTGCTAGAACACTTGTGTCTCTTGTGTTCTTCTAAAGTTAATGGCAACGAGGGTCTCAAAGGAGTAAACAAAAAGCAACGATGTCGATACATGAGCCGCCAAGTGTTGCCCCAAGCTTTGTGCTATAGGCTTTGCTTCTGCACTCATGCAGATGGTTACCCCTCCTTTTGAAACGATCGTTTATGAGATGTCCTGTCCATTCGGGGCCTGCCCAGTTAGTTGGTTCGTATCGACTTCTTCGAGTATGTGTCCGGCGTTTCTAGAAGATGATGATGATCGCGAGGTAATGAGTTGACCACATGAGTTGTCTTGCGTTGCCTTCGCTTTACTGCTGGCTGCGCCTTGCACTCATGTCACATGGCCACCCCTCCCTTTTGATGTGAGGGGCCCACAGGTGTCCTGTCCATTTGGGGGCTGCCGGCACCAGAACAAAGTTAGTTAGTTTGTTATCGCGAGGTAATGACTGGTGTGTTCTGCAACAGCGCTATTAAAGCGGCAGAGAGCGATCACGAGATGGTCGTCCAATCGCTCGTGCAGACGCGGCAGGAGAGCGCTGCCTGTTGAGCTGTTGCTGTTTCTTTACCTTTAGAAGATGGCCAGGTCGATTAGCGCTGCAGGGAATCCTTGCAAACTGGAGCTCTTGTGCTGTGCCAAGAGTGTGCCTTCAAGAGTGAGTTTTGGCAAGGAGCTGAAGGACCAGGTCGCTACATTGTTCTACCAGATTCTTGGCTGCTGTTCGGCGAGACGGTTGCATCATTGGGGAGTTTAGGACCAGGATTCATGGGTCGGTGGATGTAGTCGGATGGGAACGTCACATCGAGTCTTTCTTTGGCCTTTCGGCGAGCATAACCAGTAATTGTTGTGAGTGTGGCCAATGTGCCAAGTGCTTGCGCAAAACTGTAAACAAATGCTAACAATAGAAGCGTTAACACACACACACACACGCGCACAAACACACACACACACACACACAAACACACACACACAGATATATATGTATACATACATATATATATATATGTATGTATGTATGTATGTATACATATGTATATTCGCATCCTAAATGTATAGTTATATGTATATACACACCTTTCGGCATTCACCAGACACAGCCTATATTTATCTGTACATGTGCATGTACAGCAACACATAAGCCTTTGAGCTTAGTATACATTCACGGGCGTGAATGTCTACGACCTTCCTCGAATCTATTTGTTCATATTTGCGACGGATCGGTCATGAATCTTTTTGATTTCGTCTGCTTCTACACCAGCTATAGTGGTTGCTTCTGCACGAAGCCAGGAATGTTGGGTAGATCCGACAAAGAAGAAACCACATACGTAGAGTCAGTGAGAAGAGTCATCTTTCAAAAATGCACTTCTCGGAGTTCTTTCGGCCGAAAGTGGCGAGGATTGATGAGCGCGGCCAGGGCCAGATAACTTTCACAGATTTTGAGAAGCTCTTCGAGGACGATGCCGTCAAGGCTTGGTCTGGCCTTCAAGAGGTGCCTGGAGGGCGCTCTGCTGTGATAGGCCTTCTTCGAATCACTCCAGATCGGGGCCGTGGATGCCTGGACACTATTCCAAAGCAACACGATGCAAGGATTAAGTAGACTAATGCCTCTGTGCAAGAACTGCCAGGCGAAAGAACTTCCAATGGTCGCTTTCTCGAATTGCGGGGCTTGCGGTCTCGCGGGGTAGGCTGTGGACGGCACCTGCATTTTTGGGTTCGGCCAGGTGATAGTCAAAATCATTTAGCTGTTTACTGCCGCTCCAGTCCCCATTTATTCCCAACGTGGACAACAGATGCGGTGTGTCCGAGGTTTAGATATGGACGGGGACCATACGATCAGCGTGGACGAGTTCACGGAGAGATGCCACCGATCTGGATATAGCGCGGTCTTTTTCTCACGTTCGGCAGTGTAGGTGAGGGTCGAGATCCAGCCCAACAACTCAAATGCATATGCGAAAGAAATTGCACGGTTCCAGCCACCATTGTGGTCACTGCAGTCCGATTTTTAATTGGCTTGCTGGGAGTGAACATGTTTGACAGACATTGTGAAGGGTGACTGTTGAAGTATGCTTCTAACTCCAGTTAAAACAGTCGATTCGCGGACGACACACGACTGCTTGCCAGTCATGTAAAGGTCTACAGCTGCATGGGCCCGCTCGCTCGGCCGATCTGTATGCCTTGCGGCAGAGCAGCGCAACTTGGAATGCCCCGCAAAACTTGTCACTTTTGATCTGGTTGTGCTAGACGCTCACGAACAGAGACTGGACAAGGCTTGCAGCAAAAAGCGGAACCTTCTTTCATACACAGCATCCGTCAACATTGCCAGTGAGAGCTAGTATTCTTTCATTCGTATGGCTCCGATTTGGCCAGTTCCAGGCGAAGCTTGGCAAGCAGCTCCAGGCTATCGAACGGGCACAGCAGCGGCTGGACATTCAACTTCTTCGTGCAGGCACTCTGATTTGTCTCAACAACAACAAAAGCTTTAATTTCGCACGAAGCGCGCCCTGCATGTGCTGCTTTTTCGGAAGGATGGAGGGATTTGCAGCAATTCACACCCTCTTCAGCGATTGTCCATAAGGCTGTGCGAGCTTGTGCGCAACTGCACCGCGCCTGAGTTGCCTTCTTGCAGGCAGCGCTCTATCAACGAGTGTAGGCGAGACGAGCACAGAGACAGGCGACGAACTGAGTCAGGATCGCAAGTCTTTCCGGGTCTAATAGGGCGAGTTTTGAGCCGATTGAATCTCAAGTATTTTGATTTAAATCGTGGGCAGTTTTCGGGAGGGCAGCAGTTACAATCTTGTTGACATGGCCGGTCACAGCACGACCTTCGTAAGACTGTAACCAGGAACTGCCAGGAAGCATGATAGCCTATGCTTGGTCGATCGTTTTAAAGCTGCAGCTCCATCTGCCCTAACTTCCTTCGTAGATGTCAAGCAATGGAGGGAAGGTGTTGATTCCTCATCCGTGCTTCGATGTGGTGGCTTGCCTGAGTGCAATCTTCAATGCTTAGATTAGGTCGTGAATCATGTTAGATCATTACAGGAATCACCCGCTCGCCGGTTCGGCGTGAAGATGGGCAACCCAGCCCTTGTTGCAGAACTGCGAAAGTCAGCTGCTGCAACCACGTATGAAGCTAGGCATTGACTCCCTGATGGAGTAGGACATTTTGGGGGACCAACTGAATATCACTGTGTCGAGAATGCGGCGGAAGACTGGCGAAGCCAGCCAAACAGCAATTCAGGTATCGGTACTGCAAAACTTCTTGTCCTGGCCGATGCAGGTCACTCGTGCGAGTGCTTTGCGTGCTTGATCTAGTTAGGAGGTAGGCAACAACCCCCCCGAGGCATGAAGTTCAAGTCGCAGGCTGTAAACTGGTATGATCAGGGCATCGTAGGCATCCTGGGCAGTTGGTACTGGCAGGAGAATTTGCTGATAGATGTAGAAATTCAGTGGATGTGCAGGGCTCTCAGCTGAGTCAGCTTGCTCCGTGCCGCAGAACATCTCTGCTGAAGCAGCCGTGGCCATGCACCGATGCATGGTCAGCAGACATAGGCCCACAGCTCGGAGGTCCCTCAGCCATGGTGGACTCTGGGGACGTACCCAAACTTGTCCAAGAAGCTTTGCAGACCAGCCAACATGAGATGCTTAGTTGCAGAGTGTCAGGGATGAGGTCTAAATGCCAGTCAGCAGATGAGCTGCATGGCGCGGCAAAAGGTGCTGGATGTGAAAGGCGAAGGGTAGCGTTAGCAAGTACATTGGCAGGTGCATGTGCCAAGAGATGCCTCAGGCAGTCCAGGGCTTTGCCAACGACCAATGGGTCGAGCGTTTCTATGAGATGTGCATGGATACAAGTCAGCCGAGACGAAGTATTTGAAGCCGTCGAGCAGGAACCTTCGTAAGACCTACGCACGTGAATGTCCCAACGACAGCTTCTCTATGCAGTTCGTTACATACGATTCCTTACTTTTTCTCCCCACCTTTTCTCCACTCACCCTCCACTCACTCCCCCTCACGCTTCTCTCCCTTTCTGCTTCACGCTCGCCCTGAGGCATCTTCTTTGGCACGTCCTACTGCTCAGCCAGTGTTCAGCTTCTATTTCTTGAGCATATATCTGTATGGCATTCCATCAATGAACGGCAAACTTGTCCAAACAAACATGCTGCTAACTTGTTGCCAATATGCCCGACAACACGCACTGTGCCGCTCCTGGTGCACCTCCATTTGCTCTACTTTGGCGGGGTAGAGAGTGGCGGCGAGTCCAAGCAGACTTGCTTAGACTCAGAAAACTGTGGCTCCTTACATCAAAAGACCTGGATTTCACTTCGAAGCTAAGCAATTCCCCTCAAGGATCCTGGCGCGCCTGGACACGCGGCTCCGCGACTTCGAGGATATGTTACGCCTCCGCTTGGCCAGGCGGGCCACAGCGCATTTCTCTTCCCCATCGCTGCCCAGACGGATCCAAAAAAACCATCCAACGTACCCGTTTGACGTCTTGAAAGGTTGTGTTGCAAAACGCAAAACCGGCCCACGTGCCAAGCCACCAACAGAGATAGATCTGCCTTGATCTACCAACATTCTCCCGCAGCGCACAACGCGGTGCCCAAACCGCAGACAAGTCCACTTCTTCCATCGCGTCACAGCGGTTGGCTGCAGAGGCAATTGGCAGTGCATGAACTCTGAACTCAGTTCTGCCAAGGTCTGATACTGATATTCCTCACACGATCCGGATGACTGGCAGCATCTGGGCTGCGCTCTGAATCAGAAGGTTCAGAGGTCGCTCCGTTGTCATGAGCGCGTCTTAGGCTCCGAGAAGTTGGACAAGTATCAACGGCAGCGGTCCAGCGCGCAGTCCAACGAATCGGAGCTCGGCTTGGAGGGCTTGGACAGCCGCTCGGCGATGCTTGGAGCGGCCGAGCGAAAGGCGCAGCCGGCTTTGTACGTCTGCGGTGTCTTTTTTTGCATGGCCGAGGCCACGACCTGGCGGTCCTCACGCACAACCGCCTCGTGGAGGCTTTCGAGAGCAAGGCCAAGGCGCGACTGCACGTCTGCACGCTAGAGAACGGCAGTTGCTGCAAGTGAGATGTTGAAGTGGCGGGCTGTTTGCACTGTTTGGCCTAATGCACTTCTTGTGGCCTCTGCTGCCCATGGGCAGGTTGAGGCTCCGGATCCGGCAGGAACGAAACAGCCAGTCGGCTGGCAGAGATGTCAAGAGTTCTCACGAAGCTTGCCTTGGTCGGGCAAAAGGAGGCTTTGTGTACAGCGCATGTGTGAAAATAAGCTCGTAACATGAGGGAAACATTGTCAAGGACAGCGGCCCTCCAGACAAACGTACTGGCCGTATGCATCAGTGTATCACGAGTGAAGATGACCAGTAAAGGATGTCTCTTGATTTACCACCAAGGACGAGTCGTGAACTCCAGCTTCTCAAATGCCTTCTTCGCTTTGGTAGTGTTGTCCAACTCGGTCTACCTGGGGGTGCAGCTGGAATATTATGCAGCCGGGTTGAATTGGGGATCATCGTCTCGTTTGTTTGAGCAGCAAGAGCCTGCGAGATTGGCGTTCCGATTGTCTCAAAGCCCAGGCGCAAGTCCGGAATCCTGCCGATTCGGCATATTCCATATTCTTGACGGTGCATCTGGTCTACGCCGTCCTCTTCACAGCGGAGGTCTGCCTTCGCCTGGCTGCCGAGGGATTAGTGTCTTACCTCTGGTCTTCAGAGTGGCACTGGAATTGGCTCCTCGGCCTCGGCAGGCGCAGGCGCTAACAAACTTGGTCTCTTCTGCTAAGATTCTGCCAGCTAAGCTAAGGCTCGACGTCTTTGTGGTCTCATCGTCGTGGATTGAGCTCATGATTGACTTTGTAACCCCGGGCACGGGCGGTCGGGGAACAAACAGCAACTTGAGGCTTATGCGGCTGATTCGCATCGGTCGACTGTTCCGGGTGGTCCGAATCATGAAAGTGGTGCGCTTGTTCCGCTCTTTGCGGACCTTGGTCCAATCACTGGTGGGAACACTGAAATCGCTGGCATGGGCCATGGTCCTGCTTTCTCTGATCATGTACATATTCGCGATACTTTTTACGGACGCGGCCCTGGACTACATCATCGAATTAAAAGACCAAGTCGAGCCTTTAACTGTGGATGAGGAGAATCACCTGGCTGATGTGAGTCGATATTTTGGATCGTTGTACCGCTCCTTCATTACAATGCCACTCGGATGAGATGCTCATGTCGTCGCGTGAATAGTTCAGGTTCCACCTTAAACACTTCTTTTCGTTATCGGTATTCGCTCACAGCCTATCAGAGAAAGTGCTCGTTGAATTGAAAGAGCCTTCCGGACTTTCAGAGCTTGCAAGTGCCTGCGGCCTGGAGCCTGGGCAACCCAACACCGGATCAGTCACGAGAGCTTCAACATCTGGCATGTGAAATCTACACGAGACTGTGCTGGACGTCTGGCACGCCCAACAGGAGCCCGACAATCGGCAAATGTTCTCGAAATGCATTGGGCACATTGGCCCTTCCCGGATGGCGGAAGGGCCGCGTCGATTTGTGCTACGAACAGTGTCCTCAGTACACAATTTCTTGCCTGCTGACAAGGCGTAGACCGTTCATCTGTGCAGAGGGCTATGTTGTCTTGTCTTCGTGTTGGCGGCGTTGAGGTACCAGGTAATTTCTGATGGACTGACGTGGAGCTCGCCGGCACAAGCCCTCTACCAACTTCCGGCATTGGGCCCATACTTATGGGTGTTCTGGCCTGCACGGTGTGTGCACCTCTTGTGCGTGTGATTGAAGGTCCAAGTAAGTTTGGAGCGACTTTTGCGAAGAGTGCCTTGTGCGAGGTCCAGCTGTTCCATTTTTACATTGCCTTTGTAGCATTCGCAGTACTCAATGCAGCTCGGCAAGCAAAGATCGATATGCTGCTGTTGCCATGGTTGTCGTTTTAGTACTGGCAGTAGTCACATGAGCAGTCGTGGTCGTTGTCGAGGTCGTCCTCGCAGTAGTCCTCGTCGTCGTCTTCGCTGTTGTGTATACCGTCGTAGTAGTAGTAGAAGTAGTAGTAGTAGTAGTAGTAGTAGTAGTAGTAGTAGTAGTAGTAGAAGTAGAATAGTAGTAGTAGTAGTAGTAGTAGTAGTAGTAGTAGTAGTAGTAGTAGTAGTAGTAGTAGTAGTAGTAGTAGTAGTAGTAGTAGTAGTTCAAAAAATAGTTGTAGTAGTAGTCGTATTCGCGCAGTTGTTGTCGTAGTCGTGGAGGTGGTGGTGGTGGTGGTGGTGGTGGTGGTGGTGGTGGTGGTGGTGGTGGTGCTGGTGGTCGTGGTGGCAGTGCCGTGGTAGTGGTAGGGAAGGGGCAGCGGTAGCGGTGGCAGTAGCGGTGCGGAATTAAGCCCATCTACATATATATATATATATCTATATGTACATATATATATATCTACATGTATATATATATATATATTTTTATGTGTATATCTGAATTTTTTATGTGCCTATATGTATAGGTACCATAATGCGTTGAGGTCACGATTGGTTCTTAGTCTTTCTGTGTTTGTGTAGGTTGTTCCTGTTTGTTGTGGGCTTGCCTGTTACAAGCTGAGCGGTCGAGTGCACGACTCTTCAGCCCGTAGGCACAGGCAGAGGGCTCCTGCTGCTCTCCTCATGCTATGTGCTTTCCCTTCGTAGTCCACGGGCGTACGGCTTAAAGTGAGCGACCGTCGATTGCCGGGTTGTTGGCCCACCTAGTTTATTTGCTTAGTTTGGCTAGCTGGCAAGTTTGAGGTCGTAGGAACTTCTCCTAACTCCCCCGTTAGGCCTCTTGATCCTGTGACCTGCTACGTGGATGTGCCAAGAGGACAAGACCCGGCTTTCAACCAGTGCATGCTTCAGTATTTTGATGCTTCTCGTGCCCAACATACGGTGGAATGCGCGAACCATTTGTATTGCTTGTTGTTTGCACCCTCAACCGCGTCTTTATGTCTAATGACATAAACCTTCCACGTAAATAGTGCCTCTTGCTCTGCGTGACTGTGATGTCTCATCCCTTACCTTTCCTGGCACAGGGGTGTTGTTTTGTAGGCACTTCTTCCCCTAGGTTACCTTGAAAAGAGGAGTTTGACCCCTGCCTCAGAGATGGTCAACTTAGCAACGCCGGGGTCATTTTTTGAGGTCATGACTGGGTTTTTCTGCAGCAGTGCAATCAAAGCAGCGGAGAGCGATCATGAAATGGTCGTGCAATCGCTGGTCCAAACGCGGCAGGAGCATTTATGACAGTCTCATGGGCTATTGGTTATAGTGTCGGATCCTTGCATCTGCACGTGCATTCAAACTCTGTGACCTTGCATTTTTGGGGATAGGCCTAGAAAAATTTACATAGGCATCTAAATAAAGTAAATAAGCTTCAAAAAACTAGGCATCTAAACAAAAGTTGAATTGTTTAAAGCTATAGGAAGAAAGAGAGAGAGAACGAGACAGAGAGAGAGAGAGAGAGACCGTGGAGAGAGAGAAAGAAAGAAGCTATAGGGGGTAAAGCCCCTATACCATAACCCTGGCGAAAGAAAGAAAGCAAGAAAGAAAGAAGGACAGAAAGAAAGAAATATTGAAAGAGCGAAACAAAGAGCGCAAGAACGTTTGCAAGAAAGGAGGGAAACAAGTAAGAAATGAATAAAGCAAGAACCAAAGCTTTCACAAAAAAGAATGAAAAGGAATGAACGAACGAAATAAGGAAAGACACCCCATAATCAACACAATCAATATTGGCAAGCACGAAGAAAATCAACATGAACTAAGTACGTAAAAGACAGAAACAAGCAATAGAGTAGTGAAGCATACCATAGTATGACATAGCGTAGTATAACATAATTAACATAATCTAATATAAAATATACTGGTTCTTCTGTTATATATATACACACACGCTCTGTACTATGTTACAGTATACTATAGTACAAACTAGTATGTTGCTTTGTACTATGTTACATCATATTATACTGTACTGTTTTTGCTTTATTATGTTATGTTATGTTATGTCAGATCATGTCACATTGATGTCGTACCATCTTATGTCGTTCTTATGGTTTACTATGTTATATTATGTAAGAGTGCTAGCGGAAGAAGAGAAACGACCAGGCAGGGAAGAAAGAACGACCCATCCCCGCGTTTTTTGAGCCGTGCAAGCTTGCTTCACAAAGTGTTTTCGAAGCCCATCATGCGAGCATTCTGTCTGCAAATTGGGGGGGCTGCGCCCCCCGCTTTTCAGCCGTGCGAGTTTGCTTTGAAGCATATGGCCTTCTTTAAACCCATCACACGAGCATTGTGTTTGCAAATTGGGAGGGCCATGGCGCGCCGCATGGGCCTCTTGCTGGGCAATCGCACCTTTCGATTGCAGATGATGAGGATGTGCGCTTTCCCGAAAGCTGCTTATGGATGGGTCATGCGGAGGCCCACGCAGGAGGCCTGCACGAAGTTCAACTCCCTGGTGCACACTGGAGGCCGCGGCTTCAAACGCGCGCCCAAGGCCCTTCGGCAGCTCTTGGAGGGGGCTGCATTGGCTTTGGAAGCCCTGCTTGGAGTCCGTCAAGTTCTCCTCTGGCAGCGGCGGCTCTTCCTGGAGCTAGGGGCGGCGAGGCGAAATTGGCGACTGCTTGGATTTACCGCACTGGATGGCTTCAGCAGGGACACAGACCATGGCACCACCACGGCTTGGACCTCCGCCCGTCTGGTCTCCCAACTTCAGAGGCCACGTGGCTCATGGTCTCCGAGCAGGATGGCACTGGCAGAAATTCCACGAGTTCGTTGACAGTGGGCACCATGCTGCACAGGACTTACAAGATTTTTTTTACAACAGTGCGAGGATGAAAAAGGTGCGTGAGGTGTTTCATGGCGCTACCGGGGCTACGCGTGCAGTCATGATGGGCTCGGTCTTCTCACCGGGCTGCGCAAGCGCGGAATCTACCGCCAAACTATCACGACCGTACAGGCCGTTGCCTCTTTTGTGATGCATTCGACTCTTTTCAGCACATATTCTGGGAGTGCGACGCCAGACCGGTTGGGCTCCGCAGTGACCCACCTGCAGATCCGCTAGCCCGTCGATTTGGCTGGCCGCTGGAAGAAGTTCGTGAAGACGCCCGGCGTCTGGTGCACATGGAGTACATGAGCAAAGTCCAGGCTCTCCTCTCATCTGGGAAACCAGATGGAACCGGGCAGACTAAGGTCGGCAGTTCTGTGATGGCCAGCCTCTGAGGATAGGGTGGCTGGCCGTCTTCCTTGTGCGGGCATGCACTTCTTCTTTTCTGTTGAGGTCATGAGCGCCGATGCCATCCACGTCCCCGTCGTCGGCATGTTCAAACGAAGTGATGGCATGGAAGAAGATAGATAGAGATAGTTCTCTTGAGTCTGCTAAGAAGTCGAGAAGGGATAAACAGCCATCGAAAGGGATGAGAGAACCCTCCATTGGAAAATGAAATGACAAGACACGGAAAAAGAGCCTTTAGAGGCCTACACAGGACTCTTGTGATCCTGATGCTGATGCTGCTACCTGCTCGTGCTTGCTACGATCGGCACACTTTTGGGCCCCCCGGAGACTATGCGCCCGCGCCGACGCCATGGCGGAGCGGTGCGGTACGGCAGTCGGTGCCAGAAGGACAGGACACTACGACGGACGACGATGCTCATGAGCTCCTGTGGGAGTCTCTGAGCAGTGCGTTGTGCCTGATATTAGATTGCGCTGAGTGTTTATGCAAGCTTGCTTGTTGGATGAAGCAGCGTGCTTTTCCCCGTCGAGTTGTGTTGCGTTGTCGGCGTGTTGCTGGGCGCAGACACAGGTGCGTTAGGCGTTGGAGTCGTGGCGGTGCAGCTGCTTGTCGTCCTTTGTATGTCATGCAGCGTAAACCATCTCATACTGACCGTGTGGACTTGGTGTGAGGTTGCATGGCCCCAGGTCCGCACCAGCCGGAAGCTTCCGTGCAACAGGACCACCGCTGGCATGACGTGCAGGTTCCCCCGGCTCCCACATTGGAGGACAACTTCGACTTCTTTTAGTTTCGGTGTAATGCCGTATGCATCCGAGGGTTTTCCGTTTTCTTCAAAATTCTGATGGGAGCATTGCAAATCAGGCGACTTGTCTGGGAAATACCAGGATTAAATGCCAGATACAAAACACCTCGATTCCGAATCTGCGGTGCTTTTGCGAGACGATGCCGGAGCTCACGGCTAGATTCAAGCTCCCTTGTTTGATCTCGAGGGGGCGTTTTTGATTTGCTTTGTTTGTGCAAAAACCTGCGATAACCTGAGGTTCAGCCATGACATTACAATGGCATCCCTCTTGGATCTGCTTCGACTCGACTTAATCCCGTGTGCATCCGTGGGTTCTCCGCTTTCTCTCGATTTCTCGGATTCTCTTCCATCTCTCGCTTTCTCGGATGCTCCGCTTTCTTGGGTTCTCCGCTCTCTCGGATTCTCTTCTTTCTGTCGGTTTCTTGGAGTATCCTCTTCTGTCTCTCGCTTTCTTGGGTTCTCCGCTCTCTCGGATTCTCTTCTTCCTGTCGGTTTCTTGGAGTATCCTCTTCCGTCTCTTGCTTTCTTGGGTTCTCCGCTCTCTCGGATTCTCGTCTCTGCTTTCTCTCGGTCTCTTGGAGTTTCCCTGCTTGGTCTCGGTGTCTGGAAGTCTCTGCAACCGCTTGTGTCTTTGCCAAGGACAAAAAAACCTTAAGCCCTAACCCCTTTGGGTTCCCTTGACACCCCGCTGCTGGTTTAGCACCCTATGTGCGGGAGAAAGAAAAACACCCTAGAATGCCCTAGAACCCTATCTCCTTGGGTGGGTTCTCTTGTGGTTTAGGAACAAATACCCTGAAACCCTAATGCTGTTCCTGTTGTCGTTGTTGTTGTTATTATTGTTGTTGCTGCTGCTGCAGTAGTAGTAGTAGTAGTAGTAGTAGTAGTAGCAGCAGCAGCAGCAGTTGTAGTAGCAGTAGTAGTAGTAGCAGCAGCAGCAGTAGTACTAGTACTAGTACTAGTACTAGTACTAGTACTAGTACTAGTACTAGTACTAGTTCTAGTACTAGTACTAGTACCAGTTCTGGTAGTTGTGGTACTAGCAGCAGCAGCAGCAGGAGGAGGAGGAGTAGTAGTAGTAGTGGTAGTAGTAGTAGTAGTGGTGGTAGTAGTAGTAGTAGTAGTAATTAGAACTTTAATGCGTGGGACATAAATAAGCATCCTAGAATGCCTTAGAACCCTTTCTCCTTAGGTCGGTTCTTTTGTGGTTTAGGAACAAACCCTGAGACCCTAATGTTGTTACTGTTGTTGTTTTTGTTGTTGTTGTTGTTAGTAGTAGTAGTAGTAGTAGCAGCAGCAGTAGTAGTAGTAGTAGTCGTAGTAGTAGTAGTAGTAGTAGTGGTAGTAGTAGTAGTAGTAGTAGTAGTAGTAGTAGTACTACTACTACTACTACTACTACTAGTAGGACCACGGCGACCACGGCGACCACGACGACCACGATGACCACGACCACCACGGCGACCACGACGACGACAACGGTGCAAATTTGCGTTTAAGTAGAAGTAGTCCTCGTACTAGTACTAGGACTTGTGGTGCTGTTAAGGGGGGTTGGAGTGGGTATGGGCGTGAAAGAGTGGGTGTGTAGCTGCTACAGTAGCTGCTACAGGCGCTTCAGCTGAGAGCATGTGAGGCAAAGCTTTGCTCCAAAGCTTTGCTCGGATATCGAGATCTACATACCCGACAGTTTTCACGGAGTAGTAGTAGTAGTCGTCGTAGTAGTAGTACTAGTACTGGTATTGGTACTGGTACGTGAAAAGCTTGAAAAGCGCAGAACTAGAACTCATGCTCGATCTCTTGACAAGTGGCATGGTTGTAATTGCGTGCGTGTGGCACGTCGCTGGTTTGGTGTGCGTGCTGATGTCGTTGGTGCGCGGCCGGAGTATCCTGACTTTTGTCGCCCCGGGTTTAACAACTTGATGCGCGGAGGTGGGAAGAACGGTTCTCCTAAGCCCACTTCGAAGTCTAAGAAGCAAAATGCCGGACTGTCTCCTGAGACCAAGCGCGGTCTTAACAAGGACTTTGATGTCTTAGAGACGGGAGGCCAGGGTTCGTGCGGTTATTCGTCTTTGGCTGTCGGTGCCGCTGTGATGCGTGTTAACAAGCTTGAGGATCTGCAGGGTCAGTTTGCTAGCATGGCCACCACGTTGACGGTTCAAATCGCCCAGCATGTGGCGACACACGAGGCCGACTACCGCCCTGACTTTGCACATGCCCTGGAAGCTACTGAAGGAGCCGACGACGGGGAGCCGCCTAAAACCCCAGGAGATGGATCTGCCAACTGACTCTGAAAGCCGGCGCGCGGAGATTAGGAATCAAGTTGGTCGTTGTCCAGAAGAACAGTGATGGTGCTTGGGGTTCGCCCGTTGTGATGGGACGATCCAAAAAGGGTGAGGATCCTGTTGTGTTGGGTCATCCTGAAGTTGAGAAACACTACGTTTTGCTTTTCCCTAAGGAAGGCAAGGCGTCGAAAGCACAACAGTCAGATGCTAACAGCCTCTCTCAGGAGTTGCTTCGGGGCTCCGGTAAGAGAGGGCTTGATGCGGCGAGTTCTGTGGGCTCGCGCGAATGCGGTGAGCAGCTCTGGCGTTCCTTGGTTGCCTCACCACACTCCGAGTGCTGCGTCGTCGTTCTCTGCCTCTTCCAAAAGGCCTTCTTTGGTGACCTCTCGGGTCTCTGTGGATGAGCTTGAGACTTCTTCTGCTTGGCTTCCTGTCGCTACGCCCAGTGCTGCGTCGTCGGTTGCTTCTAGTAAGAGGAGAAAGAATGAGGGTGTGGTGCTCACACCCACGAAGCATACAGTGTCGAAGCGTTGGTTGCCTGCGGTCACACCTAAATCGGTGAACACGTCGGTTTCGTCTGCGCCCGGGACGTTGCACATGAGGATGTTCGGCAAACAAACTGTTGGTATCCTTTTTGCTCCTAAACCTGAACTTCGTGTTTGGACATGTCGAATGCTGAAAGGCAGCGGCATCTGTGGGTTCCGGTGTGAAGGGCCTCTGGAAGGACGGAAACGGTCTCAGCAATGCACTAATCACCTCGCTAACCGCCAAGAGGATATTTCTCATGCTGGGCTTATCCGCAAACTTGTTGAAAGGATTGATGCCAGTCCTAATTTGCCTGTTGAGCTGCGTAGTTGGACGCGAGGGGTTGCATCAATTTGAGAACACCAAGGCCGGAGCTTGGGCGCGTGACTGTGCCATCGAGCGGCACAGGCTTCCCTCTCATCTTCGGGTCTCCCGCAAAAAGCTCCACTCTCTCAGGTGGGCTCGCTTCCGCGAAGGAAGTGACGAACAGTTGAAAGACAGCAGAGATGTCTTGCGTGACAAACTTCGTGCTAGGGTTGACAAAGGGCTTGCTGACAACAGGACTGCTGGTAAGCACAACGGTCATGACTAGCCAAGACTAGCAAAATCAAGAAATTTTCCGGGATTGCTCGTGTGGTGACTGGTAAGTCTTGTTGGGATTTTGGATCGAGCTATGCTAAAACGGAGTGGTGGAAGAGACAAAGGCTTGAGTGGCCCCGGAACGTCAAGTGCTTGCTTGCTGTTTGGGACGTTGATTTGAAGAAAGTTGACGATGTCTATCGCTAGTCAAGTTTGACTATGTGGGCTGGTGTGTTCCGCTTGGTCGCTGGTGTTGCGGTTTTCGAACGGGATTTTGAGTTTCTTTCGCTTGCTGCTTGTGGCTAAGGTGTTGAGCCTGGTCCGGTCGACATCTTTGTTTTCTCCTGTAATGTGCAGTCGCCTGGTGGTGCGTGGGCGCTCTTGGGTTGTGTTGCTGGCATGTCCAAGTTGTCCGTTGTTGCGCTGCAGGAAACAAGGCTTAACGAGCGGGAGTTGGAAGCTTACCGCCGTGCTGCCAAGAAAAGGGTTTTGAACTGTTGAGCACGTTTGGTCATCCTGCCGGAATCGCCAAATGAGGGGGCGTGCTGTAGATGTATGATGAACCGGAATCGCCAAATGAGGGGGCGTGTTAATTAGGATTTTGATGAATCCGCAATCGCCACATGAAGGGGCATGTTTAAGGTTTAAGATATATGATTATATGATGAACCGGAATCGCCAAACAGGGGGGCGTGCTTAAAATATGTGATAAACCGTAATCGCCAATGAGGGGGCGTGTTGTAGAGATATGATGCATCCCCCAAGTAAGCTGGCGTGTTCAAGGTCTATGATGAACCGGAATCGCCAACAGGGGGGGTTTTAGGATATGATGAACCGGAATCGCCGAAAGAGGGGGCGTGTTTAAGATTTATGATGAATCCGAAACGCGAGATGAGGGGGCATGTTTAAAACATATGATGAACCGGAATCGCCAAATGAGGGGGCCTGTTTAAGATATATGAGGAATCGGATTCGACGAATGAGGGGGTATGTTTAAGATAAGAAGGGGCCGATCTTTTCCCTCAGAGCTGCGCGAGGGCTCGGCGTGCATGCGCTACGTTTCACACCTAAGACCGGTCGAGTGCGCACACTAACAGGCACAAATCTCTCTCCAATGCTCCTTCCTCCGACCAGCCACGCAAATCAGCAAGTCCATTACTTACGTGGGAATGAGAATAGACCTAAACCGTTGCGCGGTACGACACCCGAAGCCTTAAACCTTAGAATTGGCCGAGGCAAAGTGTCCCAGGAATTGTTGTTATTGCATTTCCTATGATGTATTTTTGTGATGCTTATGTCAAGTTTTTATTGACCCTTGGGTTTAATGTTTTTGATGCCTGTTTGATTTTTGTGATGCCTCACCCAAAGCATTTTTGGATAGGGCCGAGCCATCACTCTTGGAGCTCGCTGTAGAGCTTGTGTGACATCGACAGGAGCTCAGGGATCTCGTGTCGCACCTGTTCACCAAAATCGACTCCAGAGGAACCTGTGCTAATTTTTCTGAAGCGCAAGAGCTAGGTGGAGTTGCTTCACGTGGGGGAAAAGGGTAGCTGTTTAAGTTTGAGAATCCACCACTTCGCCTTCCAAGCTGTCTGGAGGCGAAGGACACATCACCTACACGGAATTTGAGCAGTTCTTCCAAGATGAAGCAGTCAAGGCCTTTTTTGAGTCCTTGCAGAGACTCGTCTGCATCTCGCCGACAGCACACTTGAACAGCTTATGTCCGCCACTCGAACTGCTGACTCGTCTGAAGCTATCGCGAACCACATCATTTATGTCGATGGATGTGTGAATGCAACCTGAAGTTTGAACTTCCACGTTGACTTTTTCAGACCCGCCAGGATCGGAGCTGTGGATGCTTGGACGCTCTTCGTGTCTCTTGACATGGATGGCGATCACACAGTTAGTGTGGAGGACTATGTCGTTTCCGCTGACTGTTGAAGCCACTTCACCGGCGAAAGTTAACAGGGTCACACCCTTCAGTGCATAGCAAGTGATTGCAAGTCTCGAAGCTCCCCGCAGAGGAGTTCACGGAGCGGTGTATGCAACTCCACGGTCCTGCCCGATCTGCAGACCTGCAGCCTGTCTAAAGAGGAGCGAGTAAAGGTGGGTGTGACACCAGTCCCGAGCAAAACGCGAAGTGGGTCTGGCAAGCGTCATGAGCGCACCGCGAGCCGCATTCTCCTGCGAACCTCCCTCTGTGTTGAAGTTTCGGGGAAGGCTGCGAGCATCACATTGCTTGAGTATTCGAAAACAAGGTTCGCCCTCAGGCAGACTACGGCCACTCTGTCCGGCAACGAGTGAGAGCATCGTGGCGACGCTACATGTGTTTGATTCACAGAGGCTCTGAAGCAGTCTGCATGTCGATGCTGAGGTGAAGCTTAGCCAGCAAGTGCAGCAACTGCAAGATGCCCAGAAGCAAAGCCATCGACTTGCCCCCGCGGCAGCATATGACCGGAGTTCTGGGATCGGATTGTTTGCCGAGCTAAGTGAGCAGCCCCGTCTGTAGCAGATTGCGCCGGGCAAACTCCAGCAGTAGCGCAAGGTCAGCAAGTCCGTGGGCCAGTTGGGGCACGACTCGCGGCCAGAACCCTTCAGCGTCTGAGACTCCGCATCTCGATTCATTTTCCCGGGGGCATCGGCCAACTTGAAGCAAGTGCTCTCTCAGCAATTTGGAGACAGCGTAGATTGGCCTTTGCCAAATGTCCTACCAGGCTTCGAGGTTGCAGTGTCGCGATGGCACAGTCGTGTACTTCCGTGCGATGTCGTATACTTCCGTGATGTGTGTCCTGGGGCCTGGGGGCTTGTTAATGTGAGAGCGGGAGACGAGCTCCAAAGGAGACTCTGACTCTCACCTCCTGCTGGCCATGTTATGCAACAGAGACACTGAAGTTGCAACTCTTAGAGGTGAAGGATGTGTAGGCTTTCCATCTCCTAAAACCCACATACACTTGCGCATGTAGATTAGCGTAGGTAACACAGAGCATGGCCCAATCTGATCCTCTGGCATTTCCTGCAAACGAAGCACCAAAAAGCTCCCTGCTTTCTTTCGCCCTGTGACCAGAGCCTTTCATACCAATGCTCTCTCTCTCTCTCTCTCTCTCTCTCGCTCTCGCTCGCTCTCGCTCTCGCTCTCGCTCTCGCTCTCTTCCCTCTGTATCCTGTATCTTCCTCTGTGTTTCACCTCACTCCCTCTCTGATGCGGTGCTGTTCTGTTCCTACAATGCCGCCTGCCCCGCTGTTGCTTTAGATTCCCGAGACAATAGAGAGCGGGAATGTGAGCCTCTTCTCCCGCAGTGCGAGCCGTGTGGCCATGGAAGAGGCGACACCGAAGGTCATTGCGCATGTGGACGAGGTCGAAGGTGTTGTGAAAAAGGGGAGGTAGCCGTGGGGGGGTGTGGGAGAAGAGCGTTACCTGCCCTGAGGTGCTTCAGAGCCATCAAGTGGAACTCCTGGAGCGCCTGGAGCTTTGGCTCCAGGCCTTGGATGCTCGTCTTCTGGAGAACCAGCGCAACGCCCAGGCCGGCGCCGCGCTGGGCTTCCCTAGTGCTTTGCTTTCGGCCTTTCGGCTTCATCTCTCCTTGGAGGTGAACGGCCTCCGCATGCCGGAGGATGCGTCGTTGTCGTCGAAGGAGCTGGGGAGGGTCGCCTCGGTCGCCTCCGAGGGAAGCTTTTTGGGGAAGCGGCGCCGCTCCCCGCTTCCACGTGTCCAGCACACCCCGAGCCTGAACAGCTACGACAAGGCCGGGTCGACATGTTCGGCAGGTGCTCCAATGTGGCGTTGAGATCCGTGTGTGGTGACCTGCTCTCATATTCTTTAATTGGTTAATTAAACCGACGGCTGATGTGCTCTGTGCGCGGGTCTGTTTCGATTTTGATTCCGGAGTTGTTGCCGCCAGGGATCGCCAGGGTGTGACGGTACACTCGAATCACGAAGTCAGTTGTGATGCTGACAAGCTGCGCTGCAAGGCACGTTTGGCTCACAGCCGCGTGGTTCAAGAGGCCGAGAAGAAAAACGTGCAGCTGCGTGAGTCCAGGAGTGCGAGTCTGCATGTCTGTGTCTTGGCCTGCGGAGTCGTTTGATTGGAAGTTTGGACCGTGCAGAGCGTCACTTTCATTGTGTCAGCAATACGAACCACACGTCCCGTGCAGCAGCGGAATGCAGATCATCGAGTCAGAGACACGTCGAATTGAGGTCAGCACTATGCGCGGACGATCGTCGAGTCTAAAACCTGCACGTTTCTCTTCGGCTTCGCAGTGCTCACGAACTCGCTGCTTTTGGGAACTCTGTCATGACATCGGTTTGCTGTAGAACTATTTCTTAGTAACTCCCCTCACCTCGGCCCTGCGGCAGATGAGCACGCATTTCGACGAGATCCGGCCTTCGAGTTCGTTTTGCATAGTATGTTTCACGTCTCACATGCGCTCTGTGCACCTCGCCACTGAGGCATTCACTTGGAATGGCAAGCCGTAACCAGAGATTTTTCCGCTGGGATTGAATTCTTCACGACTTTGCATACTATGTACTCGCTGCTGTTCACTCTGGAAGTTTGCTTGCGGCTGACGGCTGACGGGTGCAGGAAGTGCCTCGGCTTTCCCGCTTTTGCGGTGTAGTCGAGAACAGGGGAAACCAAGCAAGAGGCACGAAGCAATCTGACTTGACAGCGTCTGATCATCAAAATCTGAGGTATGTTTGGGAGTCGTCCGACTGGGCTTGGAATTGGCTGGACATTTTCGTGGCTACTTGGCAATGACATGAAACTATGTGACTTCGGCAGCTTAACCAAAATTATGTCAGCATCGAACTCGTAGTCGTCTTTGATTTTTTTGTATGTATATACACGTACATAGGTACACACACGTTATATAAACATATACTGTCATTATTGTTGACGTTGTTATACATACTTACATAAACAGATACGAGTAAACAATAAAAATAGAAACATATATGCAAATACAACAAATGAATAAATGAACACATAAATAGATAAACAATATGTATATATATATATATATATATGTTAATATGTTCACACACACATATACACGCATACCTGCATTCTCCTGCATGGACATGTAAGGCATTTTGCTTCCGAATCATACGAACTCAGACTAGCAGAGGACTGTCGTGTGTGGGGGGTTCCTGTCTCTGATGCACAAGGCAAGGGCTGCTTCGAAACCAGGATTAGAGCTTGAACCAGTCCTTATTTTTGCATCTTCTTGTTTTGATGCGGTTGACACCTACCAGTCTGCATCAGGACGCGGTTGGGGGCTGGTGTCATAAAACCCCCAGCGAGAGTCTACAGGGCAATGCACGTCTCCTCTGCCAGCAGACGCATGTGCTTTCCTCCTGCTCTCACTAATCGCAGCCCCGCCACTCCCACATAAAGTTGTACCGGCAAGTTGGAGGAGTAAGAGGTGGACAGAGCAAGAGAGCGATCCAAAGCGATCAAGACGGAGCCATACATGAAGGACAGATGCACGATGTGTTTTAGATGCTGTCCAGAGCCTGCCCAGAGTATAGGTATGGATGTGTCGTCCAGATGCAGCGCGGGCCCATTTGTTCGTGACACTGGAGCTGGCAAGCTATCAGCACTCTATGCTAGCATATCTCAGGTTATGTCATCCTGGGTGGAGCTGGCATCGGAGCTGCTCAGCAATGGGCACAGTGACTTGCTGCAAAAAGTTAAGCCTGGAGTCAATAACGAGGAAGTTTCGGTGACCTTGACGGCCTCCCTGTGCATTGCAGCCGAACATGTCTTCAAGGCAGTTCCTCCTCTACCAGCACCAACAGCAGCCTGGCTGCCTTGGCTGCCTTGGCTGCCTGGGGCGTGTCGCTGTCTGCATCCTTGCAAAGTCTGCTTGTCAGGCAACCTGCGCATCCTCAGGCTCTTGCGTGTGGGCAAGCTGGTGCGTGCGCTTCGCCTTTCAAGGGACTCTTTTCGGCCGCGGCCGGGGTGTAGGAGTGTGGGGATGACTTCTCCAGGCCTCTTTTGCAGCATAATTTGAAGACCAGCTTTCAAGGTCATTCGTGTGTTCCGCGTGGTCAAGTTCTTCCGGAGTCTGCGGACTCTGGTCCAATCATTAATGGGGACGATGAAATCACTGTTCTGGGCCATGATTCTTCTGGCGCTCATTATTTACATCTTTTCTATTCTATTTACAGACGCCGTCATCGACTACGTGCGCGAGACGGGCGTTTCGGAGCTGAACGACACAGTCTTGGAGCAATCTTTCGGAACACTCTACGAGTCGTACTTGACGCTTTTCCGATCGATTTCCAATGGGGTTACATGGGGTGAGCCTGCAAACGCACTGTCGCGAATTCCGGAAGGACGCTTTGCGTGGCATGGAGTTCACGTGGTGATGCATCATCAAATCCATCAGTGGTTCCGTTTGCATGAAGGGCCAGAGCTACACCATGTTACAGCCGTGAGTGCTAACGGTAGAACTTTAATGTTGATGCAGGGGTACCGCCATCGGGAGCGATCTGCTTGGCTGTTACTACAGCTTCGTCGTCCTGGGATAGTAGGATAACTTCCCCCTTACCTATTCATTCGTTGCCAATGCAGACTGTGGACCCTCGTATAGCCTCACAACAAGACTTCTAAGCGTGACTGCTTGAAAGCTCGCACAACTTCTGACTGTAAACATTCAGAATCTTGTCACCAAGCAGCACCACGAGGTTCGGCTGAGTCAGATGTACTTTCGAACCTCTGCTGTTGACCACGAAAAACAAGAAGGGTCAGGGTAGCTGCTGGGTGGCCCATCGTGCAAGTCCAAGTCTCATCCCGTCGCTCCTAGTTTGAGATGCAACTTGCGGAGAAGCTAGATACAGTGTTTGGGACAGATAACAACATCAGACTGTGCTATGATGTGATGCACCTTTTGCAAATATCCACGTGGGCAGCCGAGGAATCTAGGAATGGAGCATTGCAGCAAGCTTGGGTGTGCGTGGCAGGATCCATCTGGGTGCAGCTCTTCCACTTCTACATTGCCTTCTGCAGCTCCTTTTCGCTTAAGATTGCATTTGCACTATGGTTTTGATTGCTTTGCACTCTGATCCGGGGACTTGACAACCGACTCGCTTTCAACTGAGGCTTCGCCGTCCTCAATGTCTTTCGGCAGCCGTACGGGACCGTGTCATTGTTTGGTAGCGAAGCTATTCGGCGTCTGAGCCACCCGCCCGGCCGCTGTACACCGATAAATTGCGCTAGATGGTCACCTCGAGCAGTGCTTAGGTACAATGTTTTACTGCTGTTGGTGGCTTCGTGCTTGCTGGCACCGGCTAGTGATAGCGTTTAGCGTTTTGCTATCGCACACCGTAAATTATTGCGTCTTTCGCGTATGTGTCCGGCATATGTTGACACAGCCGCACGAGGCCAGCATACCAGCTTCGACTTGTGGGCTGTATCCTCATGTCTTGGCCTTGCTTTGGAAAGTTGCCTTTATCTTGTCACTTTTGGGCTGTTGGCACCGGAACAAAGAAAGTAGTTCGTCAGTTAGGTCGACAGTTGGATAGTTAGTTGGTTGTTACTAGTAGTTAGTTGGTGAGTTATGTAGTTACCTAGTTAATTACGCAATGAACCTTCTAGTCGCGAG